TAGTAACGGCTTCACTTTGAAATCCCCACTAGCATTAGCACAGAACATGAGCGTCAGCCTGTCTTTCATAGGCTTGTGTCCTGGCAGTCCCTTTTCCTCCTGAGTAATGTAGGTCCTCTTTGGCATTTTCTTCCAAAAGAGGCCTGTTTTGTCACAATTGAACACTTGTTCAGGTTTCAGTCCTTCAGCCTCTATGTACTCCTTGAATTCACTTACAAATTTTGTAGCTGCAATTTTGTCCGAACTGGCAGCCTCACCATGCCTTACCACACTGTGTATGCCACTACGCTTCTTAAATCTCTCAAACCAACCTTTGCTGGCCTTAAATTCACAATATCAGTACTCGTTGCAGGCAATTTCTTTACCAGATCTTCATGCAACTGCCTAGCCTTTTCACAAATAATCAACATCATAAGACTATCTCCTGCTAATTGTTTCTTGTTTATCCACACCGATAATAACTTCTCAACATCTTCGAGTACTGGTTATCTCATTTTTAAGTCAGCATATTTACCCCCTTTGCAACAACAGCTTCCTTGATTTCCTTTTTCTTGGCCACGATGGAAGATATGATTGTATGGGATTTGTTTTATATCCTTGCCAGTTCGGCCACACGTACGCCACTTTCACATTGTTCAATGATATTTTTCTTAAATTCAATCATATTTCTCACCTTCTTTACCAAAGGCTTAGCATTAGGAGCTTTCTTTGGAGCCATGGTAGCTTATTTAGCACTTGCAAGCACTAAAATGATCGGAATACAGTGGAACCTCAAATTTCGAATGTATCGCTTATCGAATTCTTCGAAAATAGAACCCTTTTTTCAAACCAACTTTGTCCCTATTATCGAGCTCGCCCCTATTTTCGAACCGCTGGGCACCGGACCTGTCCGGCAGCCCGCACTGTCTGCGTCCCCACGCAGGCTCCGTGAGCCAGTCTGGTTTTGTTGATGCTCTCATTCAAACATTTTATGATTATTTCATTGTGTTTAGTGCTTGTGGGACTGTGAAATAAGCTACAGTGGGCCCAAAGAAACTTGCTAGTGGTACCCTTGTGGTAAAGAAAGTGAGAAACACCATAGATGTGAAGAAGGAAATAATACAGAAGTGGAATGATGTCCAAATGTTTGTGGAGAAGTACCACCCTGAGCAAGCTGAAACAAACCATCTTTGCAACAAGTTCAGTGACAGAACCATGTCCCATTTTAGGGAAATCTTAAAGAGGCACCAGAAACAGAAAACTGTGGACAGTTATTTTGTGAGACAGGGGTCCAGTGACTCTCAAGCTAGTCCTAGTGGCATTAAAAGGCAGAAGGGAAGTAACCCCAGAGAGGGCTTTGACACCTGAAGACCTCATGGAGGAGGATTCTCCTTCCAAACACTAACCCCAACTCCCTCTCTCCTCTTCCCTATCTTCAAGAAGCCATCACCAATCTTCAATAAAGGTAAATAAAATGTTCTTTTTATATGTTTATTTAAATTTATTAATACTGTACATAATTGAACACTATATTTGTTGTGGGTATGTAAAACTATAATTAATCTCTATGAAATGTATTTTATTTTTGTGAATATTTTTGGGTTTCTGGAACGGATTAGTTTTATTTCCATTATTTCTTATGCGAAATATTGAAAATATTTCAGACTTTTCGAATTTAGAACTAACTCCTGGAACGGATTAAGTTCGATATTTGAGGTTCCACTGTACATATTATGAAATATTTCATGTGAACAAGTGAGGGGACTGTCGCTCACTGGTAAACAATGGCACACTGGATGGAAAGGGAGGCCAAGGCGGCTCAGAGCCCTGAGTACGCATCCAGGAGGAATGACGATTAGCAAGTCAACCGACCATTTGCGAGCCAATGTTTGGACGAAAATAATGCGACGCTTTCCGAAAAGGGCAACTATCGAGCCCGACAGTTTTCGAGGGATTGGTGGGATTAAATTATGGGGAATCAAATACAAAATGGGAATTGACACAGTTAATTTTTGCTGATGATACTGTGCTTATGGGAGATTCTAAAGAAAAGTTGCAAAGGTTAGTCGACGAGTTTGGGAGGGTGTGTAAAGGTAGAGAGTTGAAAGTGAACACAGATAAGAGTAAGGTGATGAGGGTATCAAATGATTTGGATAAAGAAAAATTGGATATCACATTGGAGAGGAATATGGAAGAAGTGAATGTTTTCAGATACTGTATTTGAGAGTTGACGTGTCAATGTATGGGTTTATGAAGGATGAGGTTAACCACAGAATTGATGAAGAAAAAAAGGTGAGTGGTGCGTTGATTTATCTGTGGACAAAAAATGTTATCTATGGAGGCAAAGAAGGGAATGTATGAAAGTATAGTGGTATCAACACTCTTATAAGGGTGAAAAGCTTGAGTTGTAAATGCTGAAGTGAGGAGGCGGCTGGAGGCAGTGGAGATGTCCCATCTAAGGGCAATGTGAGGTGTAAATATTATGCACAGAATTCGGAGGGTGGAAATTAAGAGAAGGTGTGGGGTTAATAAAAGTATTAGTCAGAGGGATGAAGAGGGGATGTTGAGGTGGTTTGGTCATTTAAAGAGAATGGATCGAAGTAGAATGACATGGAGAGTGTATAAATCTGTAGGGTAAGGAAGGCGGGGTAGGGGTCGTCCTCGGAAAAGCTGAAACGAAGGTTGGACTTCCAGCAAGGGTGCATGAGCGTGTTAGATAGGAGAGAATGGAGAAAAGTGGTTTTTGGGACTTGACCAGCTGTTGGAGTGTGAGCAGGGTAATATTTAGTGAAGGGATTCAGGGAAACTGGTTATTTTTATATAGTCGGACTTGAGTACTGGAAATGGGAAGTACAATGCCTGCACTTTAAAGGAGGTGCTTGGGATATTGGCAGTTTGGAGGGATAAGTTATATCTGAGAGATTTTTATCTTTGTATATGCTTCCAAACTGTTGTATCTGGACACCTCTGCAAAAACAGTGATTATGTATGAGTGAGGTGAAAGTGTTGAATGATGAAAGTATTTTCTTTTGGGGGATTTTTTTTCCTTTTTGGGTCACCCTGCTTCAGTGGGAGACAGCCAACTTGTTAAAAAAAAAAAAAAGGAACTAAGTTCAAAAGAGGATTAACAGTCAAATAATCTACTCAAGTATCAACATATAGAAATTGTTGTACAGGAAGGCCCTGTATATTAGGCACCCCTCTTTCTGTTCCGCATTTTTATTGGTTTTCAAATGAGCTATTGTTCAACATATTCAGTATTTTTTCTGCTTTTCCACTGCTTTCACACAACAGCTGTATAAGAGAAGGGCAGCTGGTGCCATATTTTAAGGTAAGTACTGTATGTACTGTGTATTTATTTTACATTTGTATTGTATCTGTTTTTTTATGCCTTGCACTATTGAGTACTTAATATATGATACTGTAAACTTGTTATTAGGCATTTTAGATGCATTCAACATTGAAAAAAAAACGCAATCACTGGGGGTTGGAACATAACAGCCATAGAAACGGGGCCCTCCTGTATACATGAAAATTTCTTTAGGTGTCCCATAGCTCGATCACTAGCGCACTCAGCTCACACACTGAAGTCCAGAGTTCAGATCCCTGGTTCGGCTGGATAACATTAGAACATGTTTCCATAAGACACCTGCTCTCCATGTTCACCCATCAGTATAAAATGAGTACCTGGGTGTTAGTCGACTGGTGTGGGTCGCATCCTGGGACCAAACTGACCTAATTTGCCCGAAATTCTCTGCATAACAAGCAGCTTTCTATACAATAGTAAGTCATTCATGTCAGTTAGGCCTGTATGCCTTGTACATGCACTTGTAGAAATAAAGATATTATTATATTATTATTCATATTTGACAAGCAAATGCCTACTGACATAAATATAAGAGTGCAAACTAGCTGCTTTAAATATCTCACCACATTAATTAAAATGAGGGGAAAAAAGGTGAGTGGTGCATTGAGGTACATATATGTAGAAACAAACAACGTTATCAATGGCAGCAAAGAAGGGAATGTATGAAAGTATAGTGGTACATATATGTAGAAACAAAAAACGTTATCAATGGCGGCAAAGAAGGGAATGTATGAAAGTATAGTGGGTGTGAAGCTTGGGTTCTAAATGCTGCAGTGAGGAGGCAGTTCGAGGCAGTGGAGATGTCCTGTCTAAGGGCAATGTCTGGTGTAAATATTATGCATAGAATTCTTAGTGTGGAAATTAGGAGAAGGTGTGGAGTTAATAAAAGTATTAGTCAGAGGGATGAAGAGGGGTTGTTGAGGTGATTTAGTCATTAAGAGAGAATGGATCAAAGTAGAATGACATGGAGAGCATATAAATCTGTAGGGGAAGGAAGACGGGGTAGGGGTCGTCTTCAAAACGGTTGGAGGGAGAGGGTAAAGGAAGTTTTGTGAGCGAGGGGCTTGGGCTTCCAGCAAGCGTGCATGAGCTTGTTAAATAGGAATGAATGGAGACGAATGGTTTTTGGGACCTGATGAGCTGTTGGAGTATGAGCAGGGTAATATTTAGTGAAGGGATTCAGGGAAACTGGTTATTTTTATACAGCCAAACTTGAGTTCTGGAAATGGGAAGTACAATGCCTGCACTTTAAAGGAGGGGTTTGGAACATTAGCAGATTGGAGAGATGTGTAATAGGATGGTATATATATAATTGGGGCCCTGATATTATATTCTATATGGAGTTTATTATATTATTTTGGGTCACTTTTTATATTGTATCTTTATATACGCTTCTAAACAGTTGCATCTGGGTATCTCTGCAAAAACAGTGATTATGAATGAGTGAGGTGAAAGTGTTGAATGATGATGAAAGTATTTTCGTTTGGGGGATTTTCTTTCTTTTTGGGTCACCCTGCCTAGGTGGGAGACGGCTGACTTGTTGGACAAAAAAAATCTTAAAGGGAGAAATTTAACACAGGGAATACTCATTATTAAAAGTTCCAGAGAAAATAATTATAAAATAACAAACCATTGACAATGATAAATAACATACTTTTCCAGAGCCCATTTCATCTTCTTGTTCTTGCCTAAACCCTCCTGGCAAGTGCTGAAGATATGATGCTGGTACTAGACCTGTGGTCCTCATGTCTGCAGTGCGAACAAGCCACCAGTCTCCATTCATCTCCTGTACTACATTCACATAATCACCTGTAAGTCAAACGAGAAAGAATAATACACAAAATTATGAACATTCTTTCAGTAATGATCTTGGAGTTGGAGTATGGCTGTGGGCCAACAAGAAGTGGAAAAAAGACACGTATAACAATAGATCTTTTATTATTGCATGACTTTTTTTTCTTACCTAGTTGTATCTAACTTTTTTAAAATGTACTGGTAGTTAAATCATTTTTAATGGAATGTATGAGAGTATAGTGATACCAACACTCTTATATGGGTGTGAAGCATGGGTTGCAAATGCTGCTGAGAGTAGGAGGCTAGAAGCAGTGATGTCATGTCTAAGGGCAATGTGTGTGGTGTAAATATTATGCAGAGAATTTGTAGTGTGGAAATTAGGAAGAGGTGTAGAGTTACCAAAAGTATTATTCAGAGGCCTGAAAAGGAATTGTTGAGGTGGTTTGGTCATTTAGAGAAGATGGAGCAAAATAGGATGACTTAGAGGGAATATAAATCTGTAGTGGAGGGAAGGAGGGGTAGGGGTCATCCTAGGAAAGGATGGAGGGAGGGGGTAAAAGAGGTTTTGTATGCAAGGCATACACACAGGCATGTGTGAGCATTTTAGATAGGAGTGAATGGAGACGAATGTTTTTTGGGACCTGACAAGCTGTTAGAGTGTAGGGAAGGGATTTAGGGAAACTGGTTAGCCAGACTGGAATCCTAGATGTGGGAAGTACTGTACAATGCCTGCACTTTAAAGGAGGGGTTTGGGATATTGGCTGTTTGGAGTGACATTTGAACTGTCATATCTGAGCGCCTCTGCAAAGACAGTGATTATGTGTGAATGATGGTGAAAGTACTGAATGATGGTGACAGTTTTTCTTTCTTTTTTGGGTCACCCTGCCTCGGTGAGAGACAACCAACGTGTTAAAAACAAAAATTATAGAAAGAAGGCAATTCACTGAAGATCTTTGGGTTTTCGGGGCTCGGGTATGCTGACAATTTTTTTCTTGGCTCTGTATGCGACAATATCCTGGGCCTCACCCAACATTTTGAACATACAAAACTTCTTACAAAATCAACAACAAAACCCAAACCCTTTAAATTTTAAAGTTGAAGCTGAGCAAGCTTTCCCCCCTTTGACACCTCCCTCCGGCAACCTGAAAAGATACATTTCCCCTTAAAGGGTTTATGGGAAGCCCCCAAATAAATATGGCCTTGCACCTTTTTTTCACACCAGAGTTTTTGCACAAAATGAAAGGGTCATAGCATTCTTCCCGGGCTCAACGTATCTGTACCTGATTTTTGGGGGAATATCAGAACATTAACAGACACATACACATCTTCACTTCCCCCCCCCACTTTACCAGATTCAGTTCAACTCAAGCCATATTCTACACAATGAACCCTGCTGGGAAAAAACTCAAATTTCGGGAGTTATTAAAACAGTGATGTAGCACCACACACACACATGAGTTTTTGCCAAAAGTAACAAAAAGTCTACTATTACCACATTAACGGTGATCTCACCAAAAAAACACTCCATTTAATGTAAATGCCCAAGAAAATTGAAATGTCATCAAAATGTCTTCTCTCCTATTGTGGGTTATTTGTAGATTGTCCATCACATTTTTTGTCCCTTTTTTCTTTTTCCCGTCTAAGGTAATAGAAGTATAAACCCATCCCCTGGGGGCACTGTACCGAGGTTTAAATGTGGGGGAAACGGGGGAGAGATTTTTTCCTAAGGTTTTTGGAACATAAAATGCCTCCACAGGTACACAACAAAACTTGTGTAACACGCAGCACAAAGGAATATCTAATGCATTGGGCAAGATACTAAATTGTTTTACTGGACTTAACCCCCCTACGGTCCCCAAACCGTAGTTTTTTACTCAAGCTCAGCTCACTTAGAAACTGTGATGGTAAATTTTTTTCCTGAAAAAAAATGCATCTTGTGGTAAGTGTACACCATATAAAACAAATCCTGCAGCATGCGTCATAAAAAGGGGGGAAAAAAGCAACTGTTTTTTTGGATTAAAACTCTACTTTGCGGTGTATTTTCGTATGGTTTTTTCGGTTGTACCCGGGGTTTTTTGTCTTACTGATAAATGGAAGATATTTTACAGGAAAGAGAAATTTTGATTTTTTTTTATTTTTGAAAAAGCTTGAAAATAGCTCAAGGTAGCGGAAAATGTTTTTATTTTTTGCCGGTGTTCAAGATAAACAAATGACTCACACATCCCAAAACACCAAATGGTGGATCTAATATAATTCACAAATGCCGATATTATTTATTTTCAATTATACAAATTGCAAACTAAATCTTTTTTTTTGGTGTGAATAAAAATTTTTAATGTAATTAAAAAATCAAAAAAGAATTCATCTATAAAGCCCGGAAACATAACTAAAAATGGAGCAAAAATTATTTTAGTGCCAGGAATGCCTGCATTGTTTATTCTGGCCCCCTGTTTTGAAAATGTGTGAAATTGGCCAAATTACCAATGTCTGATCACTTTATTGGGTAGTTGAAATAGTTGACTGGGCAGTTTCTTGTGCTCAACTGGTAAAATAGAAGTAATACTAGCAAAATAGCTAAGAATTTGGTCAACTGGAATAATGTAATTGGTATAAAATAGGAGTCAAAGTGGACAATATCACTGATGCAGTAAAATTCGCGAGTGTAATTTCATCAATTTTCCATCAAATCTCATACTTTTTGTTTTATTACCTTCAGAAAAAGATTCTCTACCATTTCATGAGTAAAAATAACAAACTTTTTTTTTTTTTTTAAATCTTGGACCCTGAAAGGGTTAAAGTATATTTTTTAATAATACTTAAAATTTATAGGTTTATTTAAAGGGTTAACATAGAAGCTTGTATGAGGCTATATTATTCCACAACTCTGGCTTGTAATAAGGGTGCTGGAAAAAAATAATACAAGTTGTAATGTCTAACTCACTATGATAAACAGTTGTGTAGTTTAGAAAAGTGGAGTGGTTATACAGAGCATCAGTGTTGGTAAGTCATCCTAACTGGCTGCCCAACTATCTTCTGAGGTGCCTATATAGCTTGATCATCCTTCTTATCCTATAATATTTATTCTAATCAGGAAGCTCATATTACTACTAGCTGATGCAATGAGCTATTTTAACACAAGAACAGCCCATTTATTTTAAACATTAATTTATACAATATTATAGTCAGTGTATCAAATATTTCCCGATACTTGGACTAGCTTATCTACTGATGTTGTCATAATGCAACAAGCAATGATTTCTCAACAGAATCTTGCTGCCAATAGATTTTTGACTGTCTTAGAACAACAGAACAAATCCTCATTTTATGTCCTGAGGACACTTAACAGGCCTTAATTTGTCATAGAGCCTGAACACTGAATATGTCTATCACTTTCCTCTAATCTGGAGAAACAAAAGAGCTTAATAAAGACAACCTACTCATCAAAGCCTGCTAACTCACTCTCCAGTGGTGTTAACAATCAATGCATTATCTCTACAGAAATACAAATAAGCAGAGTCTAATCATAATAGCTTTTGGTGTATTAATAGGTTCTGGGTCATCAGAACAGTACATACCAAGAAGACATACAAAACAGGCATCTGTTTTGGAGAATGGAAGGTGAAAAAAGGTATGGAGGTCCAAAACTGGTGATGCAGGGGTACAACTGACAGATGGCAATCCCTGAGTGGTTCATCACAACCAATGTGTAAAAATGGTCTGTAAGTCTACATTAGCTTCTAAAAGTCAAGTAAAAGCTTTATAGCATTATATTTATCTTATGTAAAGTGGGAAAAAAAAAACATGTAAAAAAAGAGGTTGCAGTAAGGATGTTTCAAAACCCTTCAAAAGTACCTTGCTTAACTGACAGTTCATCTGGCTCAGAGCTGGTGAAATCATACAAAACAGTAGCAAGTTGTCCCAAAGGTAAAAGCCTTTCACCACAGCTGCTTCTGAAAATAAAACAAACAAATTAAAAATTTCTCCACGGCGAAGTGGAACAGAATTCTTCCTCAGTAAGCCATGCATGTCATAAGAGGCGACAAACATGCCGAGAGGAAGGGGCTAGTAACCCCTTCTCCTGTATACATTAAATTTAAGAGGAGAAACTTTAGCTTTTCCTTTTGGGCCACCTACCTCAATGGGATATGGCCAGTTTGTTGAAAGAAGAAATTAAAAATTAAAAATAAGCACACCTAGGATGAGCACACTCAATAGTCAGTCTTCTGGGTATAATCCCAGGTGAAGAATAAATTTAATTTACTCAACTTGCTAACACAAACAAATATTACTCAAGCATGTAAGCACAAAGAAGCATAGACAAAAGTGTAAATGCATTCAGACAAGTACTACTGAAAAACATTAGCAGAGTAACACCAATAAGAAGAGTATGGTGAAAGTATTTGGATCATTTTTTAAAAACAACAACCGTTTCCCACCAAGGAAGCATGACCCAAAAACAAGAAACATTTTTCCATCACTCATTCCATCACTGTTTTGCCAGAGGAGCACTGATACTTCTGTTCAAAACTGCAAATATCACCACCTGTCCTCCAGAGTGCAGGCACTTTACATATCCTGAACTATGATTTTTCTTAACATGTCAGCTATTTCCCACCATGGTAGGATACCCTAAAAGGAAATATATTCACCATCACACGCTCCCTAGTTACCTTTCCAGAAGTGCACTGGCATCATATTTCATGAACCACCAAACTGTATATCCCCACTCATGCTACAGAGTGTAGGCACTATACTTACCACTTCCAAAACTCAATTTCAACTAGTTGGTTTTCTTGAATCTCTTCATGGTTACCTTGCTTATACTATAACAGCATATCAGATCCCAAAACCCACTTGTTTACACTCACTACAATCTAGCATGCTTGCATGATCACGGGATGTTCAGAGCCTTATCACTTCAACAGTACTTACACGTATCCACTGAAAAACATTTCTTTTAACACAAACCTCTCCTCCTTGTCCTTGTCTATTATGTAACCCAACTCAACTTTCAAAAACTTATGTATTGACATATCCACTTCCAAAAATCTAAACAAAAACACTGCTGCCATGCTACCTCCAAACAACCTAATGTTAAATATTTCACTGTATAGACATCTTTATATTCTCATCACACTGCAATTTTCTGTTTACTTTTAACTACCTTCATTTGTACACCCTCCTAAATTACTTAACCTACCTCTGCAATTTTTCTTCTAAACATCTCAAAAGCAGTGTATCATTAGCAAAACATGACTAGAAAATCTCCCACCACATACATTCATTATCTTTTACTTTTGCTTCTCTTTCACCCACTGACACCATTGTTCTTATGCTCTACCATCCTTTTACTTTAGCTATAACTAAATAATGATCAGACATGTCAGTTACTCTAGACATATGCACATCCAGAAATTTGACATTCAGCCTTTTGTGTATCAATATTCATCAACACAGTAAAATGGTAAACTAACCTGAAGGTAATATGCTAACTTAAGTAGATTGGAACTTAAAATATGATCTTACATGACTCTGTTGCCACTCATGTTTAATGGATCCTCACTTGCCATCTTCAACACAGAATCTAATTTCTTTAAGATCTTATCCCCATGATGATGTCTGAGTCCTCCTTTGTTCAGTGTCTGATCATTATCCAACAAGTACTGCCTGCTCACAGTAAAGATTGTATGCTTTTTCTCCATGACTGAATGACTGTATGTAAAAGTTTTTATTTCTGATTTTCTCTCCTCCCCAGAATTTAAGAGGGATTTTGCTGGAGAAGACATGGCTTTGGGATTAATATGACTTTGGTATTTGAGATTTGGGGATAAAAGCTGTTTTAATGGCAGGTGACTAGGGCCTGGACTTCTTGGTAGAGATGTTTGTAAGCTTCTTGAGGTAGCTGGTTGGACAGACATTGGGACAGTTGTATTAGATGACATACTTTCTTGGTTATAACCTAAAATAAGAACAGGTGTTTCATTAGAATAAGAACACAGAGCCATCATGTGATCAAGTGGGTGATAGTCAACACAGGAGATAGTTCCCTCTATTGGTAGGTTCATTAGAGCTGAAACCATATCCCCTGTATCTGAATTCCACACATAAAGTCCGCCATCTTCACTACCTGATATCACCCAGGTACCACACGGGCTAATGCAACCTCGCATTTGCTCTCGAACATTTAATAAGCCTCGAAGTCTGTGGGTTATTGTCCAATGTTTATGATTGACAAGTCTTATCTGACTGTCTCTTGTATGAACCATCAAGCGAAACCCACTAGGATGACAAGAGATGCTGTTTATGGTGTTCCCAATAATATCGTTCATTTTAACTTCACGCTCCAAAGAAAGAATCTTTGGCTTTTTCTTTCCTTTATCTTTTTTCATAACATCAACATTCCACACCAGAATAACACCTTGTTTATCTCCTGAGAAAAGAATATTGCCTTCCTGATTAAAGCATAAAGCATTTACAAAGCCAAGATGATTTAAAAGTTCTTGAGTAAGAGAATAATTACCACTCTTACTACAAGACCAGACCCTGAGTACATGATCATAACACCCACTTACAATAATGTTAGATCTGGCAGGTACAAAGCAAGCAACATACACATAAGAAGGGTGTGTCAAAACCTGGCTTTGTCTATATTCATTCTCTGCATCTACATGCCAGACTCTTGCAGTCGAGTCAGCTGAGGCTGTTAACAATAGATGATCATCAACACTCCATGAGATATCATAAATAAGCCCCAGATGACCCATTAGTGTGTGCTCTAAATGCCCTTCCAAGGCATCATACACAAGGATCTGCTTGTGAGCTCCACATGCAAGTTTCAATCCATCATGTGAAAATTTAACCATCAAGCATCCTTTATCAGTTTGTGGTAAATAATGTTTTACAGAACTGAGGATCTTGCAAGACTGGTTGGGTTTCCGTGCCCAGCTGATCACTGGCTTGGTCTGTTCGGAATGAATTTGACTTGACCCACTGGCAGAAGACTGGTCCAACAAGGATGATAAAACTGTTCCACCACCCTCTTCCTTTTGAGTAGCAAGCATAGACCTGTAAAGAGTTCAGAAAATGATAGTATGGTAACACTGATTTCATATAAAACAATTTAAATATGCTCTAAGTATTTTTCTTTTTTTTTTCAACAAATCGGCTGTATCCCACCAAGGCAAAGTGACCCGAAAAGAAAAACAAAAGCTTCTCTCTTTAAATTTAGTACTGTAATTCATACAGGAGATAAGAGGAAATAAAGAAGAACAAGAACCATTAGGAAAAATAGAAGAAAACCCAGATGGGTGTGTAAATATCTGTGTGTGTGCATGCATGTGTAGTGTGACTTAAGTGTAAGTAGAAACAACAAGATATATGAACCTGTTTTCAAACATTTTTTTTTTTTTAACAAGTCGGCCGTCTCCCACCGAGGCAGGGTGACCCAAAAAGAAAGAAAATTCCCAAAAAGAAAATACTTTCATCATCATTCAACACTTTCACCTCACTCACACATAATCACTGATTTTGCAGAGGGGCTCAGAACACAACAGTTTAGAAGCATATATGTATAAAGAGACACAACATATCCCTCCAAACTGCTAAAATCCCAAAACCCCTCCTTTAGAGTGCAGGCATTGTACTTCCCATTTCCAGGACTCAAGTCTGCTATATAAAATAACCGGTTTCCCTGAATCCCTTCACAAAATATCATCCTGCTCACACTCCAACAGATCGTCAGGTCCCAAATACCATTCGTCTCCATTCACTCCTATCGAACACTCTAATGCATGCCTGCTGGAAGTCCAAGCCCCTCGCCCACAAAACCTCCCTTACCCTTCCTTCCAACCTTTTCGAGGACGACCCCTACCCCGCCTTCCTTCCCCTAAAGATTTAAATGCTCTCCATGTCATTCTACTTTGATCCATTCTCTCTAAATGACCAAACCACCTCAACAACCCCTCTTCAGCCCTCTGACTAATACTTTTATTAACTCCACACCTTCTCCTAATTTCCACACTCTGAATTTTCTGCATAATATTTACACCACACATTGCCCTTAGACAGGACATCTCCAATGCCTCCAACCGCCTCCTAGCTGCTGCATTCACAACCCAAGCTTCACACCCATATAAGTGTGTTGGTACTACTATACTTTCATACATTCCCTTCTTTGCCTCCATAGATAACGTTTTTTGTCTCCACATATACCTCAACGCACCACTCACCTTTTTTCCTTCATCAATTCTATGATTAACCTCATCCTTCATAAATCCATCCGCCGACACGTCAACTCCCAAGTATCTGAAAACATTCACTTCTTCCATACTCCTCCTCCCCAATTTGATATCCAATTTTTCTTTATCTAAACCATTTGATACCCTCATCACCTTACTCTTTTCCATGTTCACTTTCAACTTTCTACCTTTACACACACTCCCAAACTCATCCACTAACCTTTGCAATTTTTCTTTAAAATCTCCCATAAGCACAGTATCATCAGCAAAAAAGGAACTGTGTCAATTCCCATTTTGTATTTGATCCCCATAATTTAATCACTTCACAGACACGTACATGCATATATATATATATACATACATCTAGGTTTTTCTCCTTTTTCTAAATGGCTCTTGTTCTTCTTTATTTCTTCTATTGTCCATGGGGAAGTGGAAAAGAATCTTTCCTCCGTAAGCCATGTGTGTCATATGAGGCGACTAAAATGCCGGGAGCAATGAGCTAGTAACCCCTTCTCCTGTAGACATTTATTAAAAAAGAGAAAAAGAAAAACTTTATAAAACTGGGATGCTTGAATGTGCGTGGATGTAGTGCGGATGACAAGAAACAGATGATTGCTGATGTTATGAATGAAAAGAAGTTGGATGTCCTGGCCCTAAGCGAAACAAAGCTGAAGGGGATAGGGGAGTTTCGGTGGGGGGAAATAAATGGGATTAAATCTGGAGTATCTGAGAGAGTTAGAGCAAAGGAAGGGGTAGCAGTAATGTTGAAGGATCAGTTATGGAAGGAGAAAAGAGAATATGAATGTATAAATTCAAGAATTATGTGGATTAAAGTAAAGGTTGGATGCGAAAAGTGGGTCATAATAAGCGTGTATGCACCTGGAGAAGAGAGGAATGTAGAGGAGAGAGAGAGATTTTGGGAGATGTTAAGTGAATGTATAGGAGCCTTTGAACCAAGTGAGAGAGTAATTGTGGTAGGGGATCTGAATGCTAAAGTAGAGAGAAACTTTTAGAGAGGTGTGGGTAGGTAAGTTTGGGGTGCCAGGTGTAAATGATAATGGGAGCCCTTGATTGAACTTTGTATAGAAAGGGGTTTAGTTATAGGTAATACATATTTATAAAAAAGAGGATAAATAAGTATACAAGATATGATGTAGGGTGAAATGACAGTAGTTTGTTGGATTATGTATTGGTAGATAAAAGACTGTTGAGTAGACTTCAGGATGTACATGTTTATAGAGGGGCCACAGATATGTCAGATCACTTTCTAGTTGTAGTTACACTGAGAGTTAAAGGTAGATGGGATACAAGGAGAATAGAAGCATCAGGGAAGAGAGAGGTGAAGGTTTATAAACTAAAAGAGGAGGCAGTTAGGGTAAGATATAAACAGCTATTGGAGGAAATAGAGGGGCTAATGAGAGCATAGGCAATGGGGTCAAAGAGGTATGGGTAGGTTTAAAAAATGTAGTGTTAGAGTGTTCAGCAGAAGTTTGTGGTTACAGGAAAGTGGGTGCGGGAGGGAAGAGGAGCGTTTGGGTTTTGAATGATGATGTAAAAGAGAGTAGTATGGGAGAAAAAGTTAGCATATGAGAAGTTTTTAACAAAGTAGAAGTGATGCAAGGAGGGAAGAGTATAGGGGGGAAAAAGAGAGAGGTTAAGAGATTGGTGAAGAAATTTTAAAAAGAGAGCAAATGAGAGAGTGGGTGAGATGTTATCAACAAATTTTGTTGAAAATAAGAAAAAGTTTTGGAGTGAGATTAACAAGTTAAGTAAGCCTAGAGAACAAATGGATTTGTCAGTTAAAAATAGGAGAGGAGAGTTATTAAATGGAGAGTTAGAGGTATTGGGAAGATGGAGGGAATATTTTGAGGAATTGTTAAATGTTGATGAAGATAGGGAAGCTGGGGATTTCGTGTATAGGGCAAGGAGGAATAACATCTTGTAGGAGTGAGGAAGAGCCAGTTGTGAGTGTGGGGGAAGTTCGTGAGGCAGTAGGTAAAATGAAAGGGATAAGGCAGCCGGGATTGATGGGATAAAGATAGAAATGTTAAAAGCAGGTGGGGATATAGTTTTGGAGTGGTTGGTGCAATTATTTAATAAATGCATGGAAGAGGGTAAGGTACCTAGGGATTGGCAGAGAGCATGCATAGTTCCTTTGTATAAAGGCAAGGGGGACAGAAGAGAGTGCAAAAATTATAGGGGGATAAGTCTGTTGAGTATACCTGGTAAAGTGTATGGTAGAGTTATTATTGAAAGAATTAACAGTAAGACGGAGAATAGGATAGCAGATGAACAAGGAGGCTTTAGGAAAGGTAGGGGGGTGTGTGGACCAGGTGTTTACAGTGAAACATATAAGTGAACAGTATTTAGATAAGGCTAAAGAGGTCTTTGTGGCACTTATGGATTTGGAAAAGGCATATGACAGGGTGGATAGGGGGGCGATGTGGCAGATGTTGCAGGTGTATGGTGTAGGAGGTAGGTTACTGAAAGCGGTGAAGAGTTTTTACGAGGATAGTGAGGCTCAAGTTAGAGTATGTAGGAAAGAAGGAAATTATTTCTCAGTAAAAGTAGGCCTTAGACAATGATGTGTGATGTCACCATGGTTGTTTAATATATTTATAGATGGGGTTGTAAGAGAAGTAAATGCGAGGGTCTTGGCAAGAGGCCTGGAGTTAAAAGATAAAGAATCAAACATAAAGTGGGAGTTGCCACAGTTGCTCTTTTGCTGATGACACTGTGCTCTTGGGAGATTCTGAAGAGAAGTTGCAGAGATTGGTGGATGAATTTGGTAGGGTGTGCAAAAAAAGAAAATTGAAAGTGAATACAGGAAAGAGTACGGTTATGAGGATAACAAAAAGATTAGGTGATGAAAGATTGGATATCAGATTGGAGGGAGAGAGTATGGAGGAGGTGAATGTATTCAGATATTTGGGAGTGGACGTGTCAGCGGTTGGGTCTATGAAAGATGAGGTGAATCATAGAAAATGATGAGGGGAAAAGGGTGAGTGGTGCACTTAGGAGTCTGTGGAGACAAAGAACTTTGTCCTTGGAGGCAAAGAGGGGAAGGGTTGAGAGTATAGTTTTACCAACCTCTTATATGGGTGTGAAGCAGGTTTGGAAAAAAGGGTTGAAAGCGAGGAGAAGGCTGGAGGCAGTGGAGTTTGAATTTCTGAGGGCCATTTTTGGGGGTTTTGAATAAAATGCAGAGAATTCGTTTTTTGGGAAGTTAGGAGGATTGCGGGATTACCAAAACTGTTGTCCAGAGGGCAGGAAATTTTTTGTTGAGGGGGTTCGGCCCTTTTAGAGAGAAGGGACCCAAAAAAAGGTGACTTCAAGAGTATTTTCATTCCTTTTAGGGGGAAAAAGGAAGGGGGGGTAGGGGTCGGCCTAGGAAAATTTTGGAGGAGGGGGAAAGGAGGTTTTGTGTGCGGGTATTTGGGAAACTTCCGGCGGGCCCATGCGTGAGGGGTTTTTGGATAGGAGAAAGGAGAAAAGGGGGTTTTTTAAAAATTTTGAGGGTGCTGGGGGAGTGGAGCAAATTTAACTTTTTATGGGGGGTTTTCGGGGAAACCGGCAGGCTGGATTTGAGTCCAAGCCTGCACTCGGGAAGGAGGGGTTTTTAAATTGGCATTTTTAAAAATGAAGTGAAAAGGGCCCCCTTTTCGGGCCAAGCCCGTGATGGAGGAATAAAAGGTAAAAAGCTTTTTTTTTGGGGCCCAGCCCTGCCTTGGGGGGAATGGGGCCATGTGATAATAAAAAAATTTAACCCACCCCTCTCCCAAACCCCCCTAGCATTTACTTTTTTTCAACCCCATCTAAAAATTTTAA